ATTAGTATTAGTGCTATTATTAGTATTATTGCTTGTATCTTATATATTATAATTATAAGTATAAGTCAAAGTCTACATTTCTTAGAGTCTAAGCCTAAGTCTTAGATTTTTTTAAAGGCATTTCCATGGTCTAAGTCTAGTTATGTATTTTGATTGATTAGGTTTTTATATGTTGCTATGACTATGTCTATGTCTATGTGGTTGGTTTTACTGACTAATTCAGGAAATACATTCTATTTATCTTTTTTTAAATTTTATCATTTATGATTTTTTTTTTTTGATGACCTAAATGTAACAGTTTTCAGCTTCCATGCAAAACTATAACTGTGTGAAAGTATTACTTACACTGACCCCTCTACAGAACCCCTGCCCCTACAGCGATTTTTTTCCTGCTACTCTCAACCCATGATTATTTTTATTACTGTACCAGTGAAACATGATTTTATCTGCCACAAAATTAGTTAACAACACAAACATATATTTGATAATTATAAGTATAACATTATTAACATTACATTGGTCAAGTTAATAATTCTTCTCATGGTTTAACATTTTTTAGCCCCAAAAAAAAGTAAAACAATAAGCCTAGTTGTTGCTTCATTCTCGAGAAAAAGCATAGCAACTAACGAGTATTCATGGCTTGCCGTTGGCTGGAATTGAACTCGAGACCGCCAACTTGAGGTTTGGTCAGTTTAGACCATCCGACCACCCAGTCACCCCGATATATAAGGCACCCTTATTGATTGATACTGTAAAACAGGAAGAATATAGACGTTACGTGACTTGCCGACTGCGTATTACTCTCAGGGTTATACGCAGTCGGCTGTATAATGTATCCACAAATTAAATTCATTTAAAAATTTTCTTTTAACTTAATTACTTTGTGTGTGTGTGTGGGGGGGGGGGGTTCTGAATTATTTAACCTTTTGTTTTTTGTGTGAATTTTTAGGGCCTGTTAACTTAATTACAACATAAACTTAGACAAAGTCAAGACATAAGCCGGGTCTTAGACCATGGAAATGCCTTTAAAAAAATCTAAGACTTAGGCTTAGACTCTAAGAAATGTAGACTTTGACTTATACTTATAATTATAATATATAAGATACAAGCAATAATACTAATAATAGCACTAGCACTAATACTATTGCTATCATCAATTTCAATATTAATTAAAATTAATTCAATTAAAATTTTACGTTAAACACATTCAAAGTTCTAGTTCAAAACAACCCGTCATGCAGCTAATTACGCATAACACTTTTTTAAAATTCGATAAATTAATAATCCTTGTTGAAGTCATTGGACTTGGAAGTTAAGTTGTGTGTCATAAGTGATGAGATATCATAATCATGATAATCATATGAGATATCATAATCATATGATATCGGTAATTATGAAGGATTTGTGAATTATTTTTTTTATAGATGTGTTCCTGAGTTTGTTTAGGGTGGAAGAAATACAGTTCAGGCCATGGAAAATGCCTGGATCAGTAGATTCAGTGATTCAGGTTGCGTTTGCAAAATTCGTGTTTTTCCTTACTTATGACGCATACAAATAAAATTAAAAGAATTCATGATTTTGAGCTGTGGCTAGGTTTAATGTAAATGTAAGTTTTTACATTTACTGATACACAAAAATGAACATCATTCCTGTGTATGGTTGTGGTGCCTATGATAGCTTTGCTCATTACATGAGAACATTGTGTAAAGCATTAATTTACTTGACATCTCAATGTCACCAAGGGTGCTGGGTGGCCGACTGGTCTAAAATGACTCACTCCAAATAGTGGTGGTTTGGATTTCAATCCCCGCCAAAGCCAAAATCCCAAGCACCCTGGGTGAATGGGACTCGTTAGCCTTGGAAGGCAACTCTGAATTCAAACCAGGAGCCAAAATTATCAATAAATTGATAGTGGGCCTTCAAATATGAAAAAAAAAATTAAAATTATCACATCGTGAAGCATATCATGATTGAATAATCATTCCGAGACTGAGGTGGGAAACCTTTTTTCAAAATAGCCACAGTGCAGCGAATGAAAAGTAAAATTGACCACACTCACTCTAAATATATAAATCATAAAACACTACTATTAAATTAAATGAAGAAATAGGCTTTTTAATCATATTTTAACTGCCAAAGGCAGCGCCTGTTCTATTTATTAATGATTAGTAGTAAAATTAGGGAATATATATAAAACACCATTAGGGCTTAATAATCATTAAAAAATAATAGCCTAGGCCTATGGAGACGTAATTCATAAATGATTAATTTATTCATAAAATATACACACTATATTATAGCCAGTAATATAGTAGGTACTTAAATATAATAGTTGTATAGTGCAAAATTTTCCCAATTCGGAATAAAGAAGGATAGTAGCACAAAAGAAAGGTGCAACTTTAACTAGATTGGGGGCCATCAAAGGATTGATGATTTTTTATCTTGCAGGAAACAAAATAATTAACAAGAAAGTCAAAAAGCTTTTAGGAAAGTTTTATGATTATGTTTAGTTATATCTTTAATTGAAATAATTTAAGTTATATTGACATCTATTACAGTAGTACAGTCATCAAACTTTAAGAGGGATGAGCCCCAAAGCAGAAAAATAACTGAACATTTTATAATGAATCTAAAATGGCAACTGTGATATGCCATGAGTGGTCCCAGCTATATCAAAACCAGGTAATTGAATCTTAAAATCTTTATTCTAATGTATATAATAAATTTATATCATGTAAGTATTAATATGTAATAAAAATGATGACATGTTGGAGGGAAAAATAGCTAATGCCTTTCATTATAATTGTGTTAAAGTTGTAGCATCCTCACCAGTTTTATGTTTAGTATTAATTCTTATTTTATATCCTATCAGTTCTTGTTTTTTATTCTTATTTGAGATGATTTTACTAAATTCTCTCTGGGACTAATGATTTATTGGTTGACTTGGACATATGTTGTTTCAGAGACAGAACTGGTAGTTGGAGTAATAATATCAGTACAGAGGAGCATACTAGAAAGCATCTCATAAATGATTTGCCACCATTACACAAGAAAGAAAATAAAAGCAAATTTAAGTTTACCTCTGAAGTAGATTCATCTTCAAGCTTTCACGGACGGTGTTATTTGGGTGATGAACATCAAATTTCTACTCAGAATGAGCTGCGTAGGAAAAGTAAAGAGCTGCATGAGATTTTACAGAGGAAGTCTAGCCAACACATGTCAGCTAAAGTCTTAGAACCTGTACTGCCTGTGTCATTTACACCAGAGATATTAGATGGCCAACCTGATGTTTCTTCTGACTGTAGGAGGGAAAAAAGCAAGGCTTCTGAAGAAAATGGAAGACGTTTAAAGCATGTGCTACTGTATCCAGATCACAGATTACTCTCGGGAAACGAAAGCTCTGGGGTTGAAATATGCAAAAAACTGTTTGGCATAACAATATTTGAATGCAATAATGGCAAGGCCAAGTGGAATCCCTCTGCTAAAGATAGGAAACTGGTTGTGCAAGGAGTGGTTGAAGGTTCAGCTTCTCACATGTCAGGGAGAATACATCGAGGTTAGAATGTTTCAATTTTAATATAATTAGCTTAAGCCTGCTTTTGCAACTATTTTCTTAGATAATGTTAGGATTTTCTAACCGAATTGGGAGTATATTATTGTCTGATTATAAATGGTATGCCATTTAAAGAAAAACATTACTTTTGTTTTAATGCATCTTATTATTAATCTTAGTTCCTCGCACAATGCATTGGACAATTGATTTCATAATGTCACTGTACATTGACCCATTTCACTGCATTTTCAAAGCTAATGTCCACTGTGTTAAGGTCCTTTCATAATCCCTTCCCCAACACACCCCTAGTCATCTAAGGTGTTCACTGCTCCCCATTCCCCATGTGTATTTAAGAGTTTAGATATACAGTGCTGAGGCAGATACAGGGTGTGCCCTGCAAAGAAAGTTCTGGGATCTTTAGAACTTTTCAGTTTAGCTGATCCCCATAATCTTTGTTATCAAACATCTTTGATGGAAACATCTACTTTCTGGCATGTGTTCTTTGCCATCCCCAAGTCTTGCTAACACAAGTGACAACTGAAATTATTTTGGTGGCATTCATTTATTTACTACATAAGTATTTCAAGCTCTTTCTGGAGTTTACATTCTATTTCAATCTTCAGGTGACATGCTTATTTGTATCAATGATGCTCAAGTTTCATGGAACAATTTTCCACGATTACTCAATTCCTTGCATAAACGTCAAGTAAGCCATCTAGTTTCATGAATAACTCTCTTTAGTTTGTCAAAAGTATCTAGCACCTTCATATAAGATTTTTAGTTTAACACAAGATGTTTCACCACCACCAGCATGTGAAAAGCAAAAGCTAATTGAAATCTTGTGTTAGTCAAACATATCTTAAAGTTTTAACTTGGAGGTACATTCATTAGCGTAAATGTTTGTTGCATGATGATGTGTATTATCATTTATTACAACAGAATGTAAAGCTCACTTTCCAATCGCCAAAGATAGTTGGTCCCAAGTCCGTTTACAGCATTCTTCAGGTCCCAGAGGGGGACCTCTGCATGGCAGTGATAGGGAAAAGATTAGCCCAAATTCAGTCAGAGCTGCTACTGCATAGATGTGTGGCATTGTACCTGACACTAGTACATTCTTCCAATGAAAGGGAAATTGATGAAAAGGTAACATATAGGGAATGTTGTTCTTTAAAATTGTTATTCTAAATCAATCAGTTGGATGAATCCTTTAATTGTCTGTACAGTTTTCGATCTTGCTATAGCTGATCATTTCCAATTATTTTATACTATATTGATTCCAAAGGTACTTGATAGAAATACATTGTTTTTATTGGTCAAAATCGCATGCCATGATCACAGATTATTATAATTTATTATTTAAAAGGCTCAGTCTCAAGAACGTTAAATACGGGGCTAATCAAACCTTTGAACTTTTGGAAAAGTGTTTTGCTCATAGTTGTCTTTATTTTCTTTATTACAGTAATAGAATTACCAATATGTTGATTTGAAATCTTACGAAGCTCACCTAAGTAATTCTTGGAAGAATAAAAAATATGTTTTAGTTGTACTTTTAAAAAAAAAAAGGCAATGGAAACAAAGACATCAATAAAAATTCACAGCTCTTAACAACAAGTACTTAACTGATTTCATTTTTCTATCTATGATATTGAAAATTTGTAACGCATATCTGAGGAAGTACATCAATGGATGTTTCTGTATTATAAATTTAAAACATTTGACCATCTGTGTATCAATTGGATTTTCAGGTCTCCTGTTCAATATTCCACTTTGGTCTGTGTTTAATTTGTTTGTTATGAAAGCTGATAGAAGTTTATCTGGTTCTGTTTAGGAGGATATCATCTACTCATTCCCTCCCGGAGAGGAAAATTTGACAGCCGTCAGGGGATTGTTCATTACTCTCAGTTCTGCCCTTGTGGATGTTGTGAGCCAACCCGCTACAAGGTACATTATTTTTCCGTCTATCACAGGCAGCTGTCGTTATGTCAATCAACAATTAAAAAAATATTATAGGCGCTAATTGGGGTAATTTAAACATGTTGATGCCATTAATGACAGATGACCATGTAAAATATATATTGTGGTGATGGCTGAATTGCCATGCAGAAAACTTTATTTTTATGATTTTTAGTTTTGCTGGTTTTTGTGGTTTTTTTCTCTTCTTCTGTTTTTCTAGAACTTTGTTTTCCTGAGAACTTTTATTTAAAAGAATGAAAGGAGTAAGCTGTGGGAAATAAGTATTATATGAGCTTCAAAATGGATCCTTATTTAATTAAAATACTATAAAAACATGTATTTGTGTGAAAACTGTGTTATTTTGACTTTCAGTACTCAGCTGACTTTGAATGATTGTGAAGTTAATGTTGTGTACAAACAGTGTGGCAGGGATGTGCTTGTGTTTGCCATGCCACAGAATAGGTAAGCTTCTGACATTTCACTCATCGTCATCGATTCAACTGATGTAAGGTTTCAGTTTATTGATCTGCATAACTTTTAGCGTGGGACATTTTTATCTTTGTTATCATATCTGATATGCTAAACCAAATTATACAGGCATCAGAGTCAGTGAAAAAATGGAACAATATTTTGACTTTCCAATGTACACATTTTGGTCCAGCAAACTGTTATTAGCAAAAGTTGCTAAATATCCACATTGTCTTCCCTGCACATCTGTGTGTGGCAAGTATCCACAGTCTTCCCTGTCAATCTGTGTGTGGTAAGTATCCACACAGTCTTCCCTGCCAATATGTGTGTGGCAAGTATCCACACAGTGTTCTCTGCCCATCTGTGTGTGGCAAGTATCCACACAGTGTTCTCTGCCCATCTGTGTGTGGCAAGTATCCACACAGTGTTCTCTGCCCATCTGTGTGTGGCAAGTATCCACACAGTGTTCTCTGCCCATCTGTGTGTGGCAAGTATCCACACAGTGTTCTCTGCCCATCTGTGTGTGGCAAGTATCCACACAGTGTTCCATGTCCATCTGTAGCATTGAAAGTTGCTTGGAACGGTTAAGAACTAAGGGAGAAAACCTTATTATGGAAGCTAACCAAAACAAAACATTTAGGTAGAAGTTTTCTGTTCTTAGAGCAAAACAAGTTGCAAAGTAAAAAATTCTTCATGTTCTTAATAGAATAAACTGTGTTGAGCTGATCATTGATTAGTTGCCTTCCTTCTTGTTCACAGAATATCTGCCAGTGGTGTGCAATCTTTGCTAGAGGCTTTCTTTTCATTAATGGAGCTTTTGTTTTCTGATCTTAAAAGGTATGGTATCTGGGTTATCTGCTGAAACATCTTTTGTTAAAACCCCTTTTAAAAATTATGTCAAGACTCCTACTTTAGTCTGTAGTACTGTGTCAAGTCAATAACATGGATTAAATTTTACAAATATTTGCACTTAATTTCTTCATTAAATCTACTTTGGTCTAAAGTAAATAACTTAATGGCAAGTTCAGGAAAGTTTTTTTTAAAAAGATTTTTAAATAGGGAAAAACAAAAATTAAGATTATTTAAATCTTAATAAAGCATGTATTGTATTTCAATATATATAATCTTGAAGAAAAGTTTAAATTTATTTATTTTTAAAAATTAATATTTGTAAACATATCCTGTTTCTTTCTTCTTTTTTTTTTCCTAGTGCATTTACTGATTGTGATAGGTTATGGCTGGACAAAGTTCTGGCACTTATGTTCCACCAAGCTCTGGGACTGCAGCCTTACTTGCCCTTGTCCACAACATTCATGCATCCCTTGTCATCATCCTTTGAAATACCCTTGGCATTTAAAGACTACTATTTGGTGAAGACATTAAACCTCTCTCATGAAAATCAGGTGAGCCATCTTGTTTATTACATATGTGGTTTGCTATCTTTAGAAAATGTATTTTTATGGATGATTGTTTCAGTTGTACCTTACTTCAATCAACAAATCATCCACATGACAATTTGCATGCAGTGTTTTCTAAAATCCACAATTGTTATGAAAGTTCCGTAGGACAAGATTGAATAGTTCAAAAGAAATTTGCACAATTATTTATTCTGTATGCCTACACATTCACTTAGGTTTTGCTTTACCTTTAAAATGTATTGATCTCTTTGTTTCAGTTGATATGCAATGAGATTTTGAATGAGCTGGAATCCATGGACTTTGATGATTTCTTGGTGAGTTCTTTTGTTAAATGACTAATGCAAGGACTGAAATGAAAATCTCTTTTATTATGGGAACTTATTTCATTCTAACTTCATTCAGATCAATTCACATATTAATTTTTATTACTACATTTTTATTTTATTACGTTGCAATCTTCCTAACGTTAATAACTTCGACCTGTTAGGATCTTCCTTCTTTTCAAATGAACAACTCCCACAGTAGGCACATTTACTGAGGGCAGTAGACTCCTCGATGTCTAGGGTGTACCATCGCAATATAAATCACAAACTCCAGTGTTACGATCTTGATATTACCACAGTTCAATAGCTTTTTTGTCCAAGGGGGTAATTCAGTGACTTGACAAACCATTGATTCATGCCAAATGTCCCTTTACTTAACAAAGCAACTCTAATTCTAACACTCTATTATACAACTACTCCATCTTTGCTATCCAAAATCAAAAGCAACATTCATAACATCATGTCCCATACCTCAACTACGTCACAAAATATCAAGCACATTGAAACGGCTGCACTAATACTCTCGACACCAAACATGCACGTACAAAACACAAACAGATCATCAGCATCTTACTCATGTTCAAATTTATTTAATCTGACATTGTTTGTTGTTGTTGTGTGTTTTTTTAACAGGAACCTAAGGAGCTCTTTGCTAGAAGACATCATGTAGTGCACGGCACATGCTTATTTTATAAGGTAAGAAATTGTCTCCGAATATTTGTCATTTCATTTGATCCCCGAATGTAAGGGCTGTTTGGTGTAGTAAACTCTATGCTGAATACAAAGTCTGGTGATAACTGGGATATGAATATTAATAGATTTACAAATACAGACACTTCAGCCGTTGATGTTTCTTGCCCAAGTTTTCCTAAAAAAAGTAAATGAGCCATTGCACCCCGATAATATATATTGTACATTTTCTGTTAAAAATTATATCTCTTGGACTATTAAAAAATGTTTAAGCTCCAATCGCAGTTTTATGATTAGGTGGACTTTTAGGATTACAATATAGTTAACATTGTAAAGCTCTTTTTTTACAGACCATTTTTTTTTCCCTTTTGACAGGAACATTTGATAAGCAGCCATCTGGCACCAGAACAACAAAGGAGTGTGAATCTGTTTTTGAACTGCCACGGTTTGCTGGCGCTGTCGTCAAGGGAAGATGTCAGCAAGGTCATGTTGTGGCAAGAGTTAAAGTCCTATTCCTCGCTTGATGGGTCAGACTTGCCCGCTGGATACAGGCCGTCCCAAACCAATAGTTTTATAATGGTTATTGGCCAGGTATGGACTAGTAGTGTAAAGACATGTTAAGCATTTTTAAAGTAGTGTTTAGGGAGGGAAACTTGAAGGTATTTTACAGCTTCTTATGAAAAAAACACAAAAATGTCATAAATTAGTATTTGTTCAAAAAACAAGTAACAAGAAATGAAATGATTTTTAAATATTCACTCCCAATCTTTGCTTACTGTTTTCTCAGTGTAAATTTAAACATTCAATCATGTGGTCGTTTATAATAAAATGTGTTATTTCAGTATTTTTTTTAATGAATTATTATTCATCAAAGGAAGAAGACAAATTGCTTAAAACATTCAAATGAATTATGTTGACTGTGTAGCCCAACTGCATAAGGCTCACTTTATCAAATGTCTGTGTAAAGTGTTTATCAAATGTCTGTGTAAAGTGTTTATCAAATGTCTGTGTAAAGTGTTTATCAAATGTCTGTGTAAAGTGTTTATCAAATGTCTGTGTAAAGTGTTTATCAAATGTCTGTGTAAAGTGTTTATCAAATGTCTGTGTAAAGTGTTTATCAAATGTCTGTGTAAAGTGCTATTTCACCAACTGACATGAACTGACAAGAATTTGTATAAACTTATTGCCTTTCTCTTGTACAGAAACATTACTACTTGGTTGTTTTAGTTGAAGCTGGTGGAGGCTGCCTACCCATCCATGGACATGCTCAACCACTTCCTTTATTGGTAGACCAGGGTAGGGCAACTCTGGATCAATTGGAAACTGATGAAGTTCACATGTCAAGCTGTTGTGAAGAAAAGTAGTTTTTCTTAATTTCTACATTTGACTTAAAATGTGTATTGCTGAATGGAAGTGTGAACATGAAATACTATTGTGAATAGAAATGTTTCAGAAAACATATTAAACAATTCCTTAATTTATTGTAAAGACTAATATTGTGCTTTGCAGTTGCTTTAAATCCATGTGGATACACTTAATGTTGGTATGTTTAACAATCTGTCTAGGTTGAATTCTCTAACTGAAGGAATTTTATTAGCATCTGCTGAACAGCTCTGTTCATTAACATCACCTAGAAGTAGAACGTTAGTTCGCAACGGGGGTCAACGCCCACGTAAGTAATGCAAATGTAGTTATATGTCTTTTTACCTAAATCTGTTGGGCAGAAATTTGTTTAATTCAGACTGCATGTACAGAAACACCTACTGAGTTTTATATACTAAATTTTAAAGGAATAAAACATTTGGTGATGTATTGTACTTCATTCATAGGACATCCGAATGGCACATGCTGTTCACAGGATTTGTTTAGTGATTTAAAAGTTCATGAAGTTCATCTCTGAAATGTTTTGTTTTATAGCCCTAACACCTAGCAAGTCTGCATCTGACAACCCTTTCATGTTGCGGTCCAAATCAGTAGACAGAATAGGTATGTAGTGTTTTCCTTTGTATCTACATTTATTTTTTTTTTTTATTCAAGTCAGTTCCTTAATATGATTTCTCTTCAATGCAAATATGTCCTTATTTAAAAGTTACAACCATGACTGGTCTGATTGTTGTTAAACAGCTTCTTTTCCTAAAAAATATTTAATTACCCTTTTTTTAAAAATAATAATTTAGAATTATATGAGTTTTGAATGTTTCTTCCCCCGGGTCATGTAAAGAGAGAGAGAGCCCCAGTCAGAATGACTTGACTGGACCTGTAGTCATGAGAAGACACGGCAGTAAACTTTCCTATGGATCTAATGATTCAGCAGGAAGTAGCAGCAGTGCAGGACAGTCCAAGGTAACATACAGTTTGACTGGAGTTGGTCCACCTCTCTTTGATTTAATTTATTAGAATCATCTTACACAGGCTTATTGACCATGGCTTAACATCAATAGAGACTCCAGCCCAGATGTTTAAATCTATATGACATACGCAAATAGTGTACCATTGGAAAGAGCTGGCTATTAGCTTTCACAATAAACCAAGACCATCTTTCTTTCACATATAGAAGAAAAGCTATGATTTTTTTATTGTCATCTTTATTTCCTCCTAATTTAGCTTTGTAATTTAATTCTTACAGCTGTGAATGAATTATTACACTTCTTGAGCTATTATGTTTGTAACTTGTTATTAAAGATACTGCAATAAAAATATGAGGAGACATTGACAATACAATTTTTAACAAAACGAAAACACATGAATTAAATATAAATTATTTATTGATAAAATATGATCAGATATGGATAGAGAGGGCAGGGAGTAACAACAGTTGCAGAACTCAACATTTTTTTTTATATAAAGGGGCATAACTATTAAAGTAATAAAGCTATTTCATTAAAAAAAATTCCACAGAAATAGATAGCCTTCATCTGAGAGTAATGAAGTTTTATAAATTATTCAATCTCAGTTTAAGAAAATTAACCTGTGTATTTTAAATAAAAAAAGAATGGAGTCCGACAGATTGGGACCTTACAATACTTAATCCTAAATTTTTAAGCTAATAGAGCTAATGTAATAAAATTTTCCACAATAACAGTGTCAGCTAAAAGTAAAGAAATTTTTATTCATTTAAATAATTGACCTCCACATTAAGAAAAATTTGATGAAAGGCGACCATGGCAGAACATTTAAATTGATAATTTTAAAAACATAAAGCGCTATTGTAATAAAATATTCCACAGTAATAATTTATTGTATCTATTTTAAATGAATTTTTTAAGTAAATATGTAACTGAAATGTTGAGTGAGTCAACAGAGATCACTTCTATGTTGGCAGGGCAAAGGCAGCAGAGTGAGCTCTATAGCAGACCTTTCTGGGATTGTAAGAAGCCAGTCAGTGCTCCATATAGATCTGCCCCATGATGTTCTGTCAGGAGCCAGGTAACTGAACTACACAAATGGTGTCTAACAGATGCCGCATGTGGGGCTGATATTGCTTTAGACTAGAGTAATCATCACTTACTTGTCCCTTAATTCAATTTTGCTTAACCCTTTACGGGGCAGAGCGGCCGAAAACGTCTTTACCACTTAAAGGGCAAAAACGCCCAAAAGCGTCCGTGACGACTTAGTGTTGTTTTCTCGTGACCTCCGAGGCTATGCGAGACTTCCTATTGTTTACATCCGCTTTTTCCGATAGATAAAAAGAGTAGGCGCCAGTTACAAGTATTTAATCAATTTTTTTTTAGTTTTAGTGGTTTAAAAAAAAAATTTTGTGGAAATGGACTTTGCCAATTATTGGCCGATTATTCAAGTGATAGCGGAGATTTCGATGGATTCAATTAAAGTGACATTTAAGTGCACGAATTGACTGTAAATTGGAACTAGATGTTTATATTATTAGTAATATTAGTGAAATCAGCGTAGTAAGCAGTGTTGAATTTTACAAACTTCAATTTTGTGGCAGTGTTTTTAAATAGTAAATAGATGACTCACAATCACAAACAATATGTTGTTTTTGCAAATAATTGTGTTCATATAAGAATTAATGGCAACATGTGAGTACAATTATAAATCTGCATTCATTTTCCTTTATTTTGTTTTTTATTTCACACAAATCTGTTGACTAAAACCTTAGATTTGATTTTTTTTGTAACGTCACCCTAAATTTTACTAAAAAATGGAAAAGTGGTACCCGTTCAGGACATGCAAGAGGAAGTACCTCTGCCCCGTAAAGGGTTAATAGAATTAACTGGTTGACATGCATTAACATTTAAGGATTTATTAATTTTTATTTAGCTGTGATGCATAAGTACACAATTACAGTTATTTAATAAAAATATTCTTTTTTAAACATTTGTTTATATTCCTACAATAAAATTGCATCAAATACAATTGACATCATATTTGTTTCTATTCCATAAAGTGCATTGTGATAAATTTCATTGTGGGGAAAATTGTATTTTGTTGGATAAGAATTTCTTCGGTACAAAACCCCTATAAACAACCTCTTTCCTCAGACTAAGCAGAGGCAAAGATAACACCTTGTTCAACTATGTGTACTTAGAGTCAGGGGAGGGCATTCTCATTTGTCCAACAGAGGCTGAACTCAGTGAAGTTCATTCAAACTTACAACAGGAAGTGATTCAAAATTTCTGTCTTTCTTGCCAGAAAATCAGACCATTGTTTGCTCAGCAGGTATTTTCATGATAAATTTAACTAATGAGAAGTAAAATCACTGGCACTTTGTTTTAATTTTGTAGGCAATAACATTTATACTATCCATGATCTTTTAAAAAAAAAAAAAAAAAAAAAAAATTACATAAACATTGCTACTGGCAGGTACCAAAGAGTGATTCAAGTGAAATTGAGCCCTCATTGTTCAGTACATCCAGGCTGATAGATACAAGCTACATTGAGGCCGGTGTTTTATTCCATTGTGCATTCCAGTCAAACATTGACAGAAAACAGCAAGTCTCAAGCTTAGGCTACTGGGTCATTGGGTACGTGTATATATGTACGAATTTTTAACTTTATTTATAGACTGTGCTAGCTTTTTGTTGTTGTTAGAAAATGAAATCATTGAATCTTTTGATACTGCAAAGAAGGTTAGTGTAAAATTAGGTTTGCGTTGATATATTCCACCACTTTCCCCAGTTATTACTGATTTCTTGTCAAGAATTTTGAAAAATAACTACCTCTATTTGTGTCAGTGTTGCCCTTCACCAAAACAACCGTTAATACTTTTAGACCTCCATTTTAAAACAAAGCTACTGCCAGAAATACATGTTGCAAGAAGACGCCCGGTCATTATTTCTTCCTTGCTCTGCAGACGATGTTGGTCAAGCCCAAGTCACCAGGAAATGTATGTCTGTTGCCATGAGTCTGCCAACCAGGCCTTGGTGGAAATGGCATTTTCCATTGGATTTGGAACATGATGGCCACTGCTGACTAGAGCCTAATTCCCTGTGTGAATGCCATGTTTGATTGGAGACATTGTGGTCAAGAACCATTACACTCATGGAATCATAAAGTTGCTAACAGAACTGTTACACTCATAGAGTTATTAAGTTTCAGACATTTGTAAACAGAAATAAATAGGCTTGAATGGAGTCTAATACATGGTTACCTTAGAACCAATCTTTTAAGTTTATTAACTTTTTGCAGAAACAGTGAGATTTATACAGGTGCTTTGATGAGAACTTGTAGTAATTACGCAATTTTAATAATACCTCATTTGTTGTTAACAAAATATATGCACATATTGTATCTATACGTTTTTAGAAATATGTACAATTACATTATATATATATATATGTATTTTTAATTGTTAAAAGAACCAGCTTTAAGTTAAAATTACGCAGCCAACTATGTTCCCAATCATCTATAACTAATTCAAACACTATTTCCCTGTTATTTAATTCTTGTTGCAATGATTGCCTTTTAGATACCTTATTTTCTGAACAAAGCCCCGTTATTTGGTGCGTTTTTTACAAATGAATTGTTTCAACTCTACTTAAATTATTTCGATCATAGTTTTTGTTTTGTTAATTAATGTCAGCATTCCATCCATTTATGAAAATTTATATATTCTTTTTTATCACATCACTGGAGTCTTATATTTTTTATTGCTGTAAGTAGACTGTCTGAAATGTTTAATGTTATAAAGTAATATATTTTACACATTTGAATGTTGCCATTACATCTCCTTGCTATGCAATAACATTTACAACATTTACAGCTGGCTAGGCTTTGGATGAAATAAACTGGCTCTTTACAATTTGTTTACCATGTTTATCTCAAGCACTGAGCACAATACTGAAACAGATTCAACAAAAGTAACTGTCTACCAAGCCCATGTGGTAGAATGAATGGAGTGGCACACTGGCAGCACTGCATGCCTCTCGACCAAAAGTTTGTGGGTCTTAAACATGACTGGTGTGCCCCCCCGGTTTGTGCAATGACTCACGGATGCGGCAGACTTGTTGGCCAGTCAGGTCGCTATTTGAAATAAAATCATAAGTTGCTGGTGTCTCCCTGTAAAATTTGCTGGTGTTAGGGTCCAGTCGATTGTAGACGTGACCGTCACTGAGGATAGTGTAACTACCCCCAAGTGTTTGTTTCTTACATCTGTCACATAGGGACCCTACAACATCCTTGGTTTTAGTGATTGATTCAACCATATGTCAACAAACTTTATTTTAATGAACCTTTGCTAGCTTTCCTTACAAATTCTTTGGACACCAGTTGGAGAAGTGCTACATTTTCAAAAGGCCATTGATTTCTCTGTTCTGAGTGCTGAAATCTGCAGGGCCCTCTGCAGTTCTCGGTGTCCTCACTGCTAACGTGTGACCAAATGTTGGCTGTGTGTTATCCTGATAAACTTACTCTACCCAAAGAAGCTACTGGTATACTCATTATAGTTTTGTCCCTAAATAATGGGCTAATCAATCAACTGGTTTCCCCTTAAACTAGACTCAACTGCAGACATATTTGGATGCACTTTGTATGAATGCCCAGTGAAAATGAGGCTGCGTAGCAATACATTTTACCTTCAGTAAATAACAGATTTGTTTACATTTTTCTTTATGTGTTGTTAAACTGTTGCTTTTAATTATCTTATAGGCCATAAAGTTTACACATTTTTTAAATGTGAGATGTCCTTTCAAAAACTTTTCTATTTGATAAGTGCAGGTGACCAACTTTATGTACAAGGCCAAACTTTAACACCGTGAAGGTGGTACTTGGTTGAAATGTATTATTTTAAAATTGATCATCAACAGTACACAGATATAGTTGAATGAATGCTTGAGTTAAAGTGAAGCTGCTCGAAACAAAACATGAAGAATCAGGCTGATATAAAAATCAATTTTTTTTTTCCTGTCATTTTTCTTAAACAATTCCACTTGTCATATGAAGCATAATGAATGATTTTTGTCTTTAAAAAAATGCTTGATTATGCCAAAATTTTTTGCAAAACACCAAGAGAGACATTGATGTAGTCAAGTGATGAGCATGAGTAATGAAATGAATGTCTGTGAGTCACAAGTCAAGTGAACCAATCAGTTGTCACCAAACAAATATAAAAATGTTTCTGACAGCAGCAGTTTATTTCAAAATCTAGAGACCGTATGTTCTGATGCTATTTATTGCTTAGGTTAAGTTAAATGAGATTTAAGTGTGTATGGTACTGTATGCAGCCCCGAATGTCTTCTCCTCACCAGGAATGACATACAAAAATACTCACCTGTAAAGGGCTTCCACAACAAACGGCGTTGAAAAGACGGATCAGATAAATGCATCGCATTTGTTATTGATCTGTTTTGCTTATGTGGGGTGCCCCAGAAATGGGCCATCTAAATCTGGTGGTACACTGATGCCATGGCTGGTATAAATGAATTCCCTTCATGCAGTGAGTTGATCTCCTGTGATTGTGTGTAACTTCTTTCAAATTAAATATGAATTATAACTTACAGAGTATGGGGAAATATGTAAGATCAGGAAACTGAGCAAAGAACATTTCAACTTAAAAGTTTTCAACAGCAGACAAAGAGGGACCATAAAGATAAACTCAGCTGATGGAAGTTGACAAAATTCTCGTCAAATAATTGTCTGATGTATACTCCCGCTGTTTGTTAACTCATGTCTTAAAGTTACATGTTTTGTTAACTGCAATAAATACACATATACTGTGCTTGTGGATAATCATCACCAATACATTAAGATTAAGATTGATTCAACTATTTCACTGTTCATATTTGTATGAGTTCTACATGGCATCACAATAGAGAAATCCAGAATGTTTTGGTGATCAAAAAGCAATTTTTTTTACATTTGAAAGTGAATTGTTAAAAATATAATATTGCATATTCAAAAAAGCTGTATCAAGAGCCACCAACAGAGCATTGTACATTGTAATTTGTATCTCTCTCACTCTCTCTCTGTGCCATGCAATATATTGTTGTCATTACTGAATTCCTGTAGTGGTTGTGAACTAATGGAAAATATGACTTTTATTTTTAAAGATACTTTCAACCGTCCATTAATGTGACTTGATTTAAAAGGTCTAAAATCAGACCATTGTTTGTCCACAAAAATACTTATTTTGTTGTTATCTAGTCCAAAATCTTTTGGTATCACTATGGTGAAGGATTGCAGCTTTAATTGATCAGATTATTACTTATGCAGCATTATGTTATTTTAGAAACATTCCATCCAAATGTGTTGCTACATTTTTAAGTGTAGATTTTGATCCATTTATTTTTAAAGTGAATCATTCAGTGATGTGCTGTTATCAGATTCTGTTGAAAGTACAAGTTAGTAGGAAATGTGTCCTCTGAGAACACAGATCATTGGTTTTAAGAGTGTTATAATAGTTTTGATCATCTACCAGCGTCTCAGACAGTCACATGATTGAAATAGCTTTACTTTTAATGGACGGCTTTATTACTTATTTAGCTCAAATAATTTATTTGTGTTAAATAAAAAAAAAAAAACTTTTGAACTTTTCACAGGAAAAAATATAAATTATTATAAAGTGAAATCCATAAGCTTCAGAAAAATTTCCTTGTTTTTATATGACTATATATCCCATAATATAGTATAAAATCTATTGCAAGCAAATTATCTTCATTATTGATTAGTTTCAGACAGGTGTGTGAAGCTTTCATTTGATACAAGAAAATGTTTTATGTCTCACCAGAGGACTGGTCAACTCTGTTTGGCAATCACTGTTTTGCTAATGTTAAAACTGAAGTGAAAACTTGTTCTCATTATAGAACTTGGAATTCTTGATTACTTCTCAATGATTATCTTGTCAACTTGATTCTGAGCAAACGGGCGTGAGTTTATTACTGAACATGCAACACCTTAAATGATAATTTCATTTTACACAGAATTCAGTATATATATATGTGTATGTTTATGTATTGATATGTTTTTGTGTATTGATTTATTTTTGAATGTAAGATATGGGTAAGTGATACTGAGCAGCTTAGCACTTGTTTGAGGTGAATGAATTCTTAAAGAAGTTTGTTTGTGTATGTCATCTTATAAATATAGCAATAAATTGCTGTGCAACATTAAAGTATAGAACTATACTTGATGCTTATGTCAATTCATATCGTAGATCATTGCTGTATATCTCCCAACATTAATGTAGTTTAGGCCTACATGAGCTGAGTTCTATTCAAATCTCTATTAAAAATTCGTAACTCTTAAAATAATTTAAAACAACTTGTCTATTATGTTTGGGTTTTTCTTAAAATAAAATAATACATTTTTAAGAAAAAGAATGTTTAAATTGACATTGAGACAATTTTTGTTGCTGATCTATGGAGATATATTACATTTGAGTAAATGGGATAAAATTTCTTAAGTTTGACACGACCTAATTGGCTTTTCTCCAATGGAATGACTATCAGTAGTTCTGCCTGTTGGCCTTTAATCTGGCCATTTCATGTTTATGATTACTTCACATTCCTAATACATTTATAATTATACAGCCTTTCTTTTAGATTATATCATTGAAATTGCAATGTAATATTTAAACACTCATTTTAAAAAATCTGAACTTGATGTAGAATATTTGACATGTTCAAAATTTGATGTTTTATTACTGAATGTCATTCTCTCGAAATCCAAGAACTGTTTTGTTGTAAACTAAATTCTGTCATACAGATAAAAGTTGTTTTCTTCCCTTCTATTTATTTCAGCAATAAAATAATAACTTCTTTCTAATGCTTCCTTCAGTCCAGTAGAATTCCCCGATCTGGCTTGTTGAGCTTTATTAAATTACACATGTACTTAACTAGTTTGGGCACAACAACCTTAATATTTCTGCAATGTCCTTTAAAGGACAATCGCTCATTGCATCAGAGTTGATCATCTAGATGTTTTTTGTGTGCAAATTGTGCTTACGTGATCAAGCGCACCATGGGGAAAGCAGGGAATGAGAGGACAGCACAATTTGTAATGAGAGCAGGTGCGGACAAGAAATATCCACTCGGGAATTATTATTGTAGATAATTCATGGTTTTAAAGTGTTACAAGTATGATTTAAGTATTTAAATTATTTACAGGTTTGACTTTTATGGTGTAATAAAAGACATCTCTTATTTTAAGAAGTCCCCTGTTGT